GGAAGTGAAGAAAAATGTCTCACATGCTTATGGTACAAAATTGTTACCCTTGAAGTAACGACTACCGACATCGTTAGAACCATTAACGTACACGATATACACCATTGAGGATAATAGTGATGTGAATATGATGGTCGATGCTCACTTGCAATATTCATTTGGAGGGTCGATGGAGTTGTGTGCATTGTTTTCTGATGCTGATGATGGTACCAATATGCCAAGTTAGAGACGAGCGGAGTTCGGCTTTGATCCAACTGTTGAAAGTCCGACGAAAAATTTGAGAAACGACTTCAATTTGTTAAGCACACACAATACACATAACGATTTTGGTGTATCGTCGTCTTCAATGCCAAGGCATTCATGCGTTGCTAGATTTGAGTTTTACTTGAACATGCCACCATGCACCTATGCAACAATCCACATTTAATTGGTTCGATGATTTCTCATCTGGACAATATTCAACGTAAATCCCTTCTGCGGATAACGTCTCAACACATATGGGGAGACATTCTTTTACTGGTGTTTGTAACATTGATCTTGGGGAACCAGTTCGTGAGCGGTCTCGTGATCGACAAACATATGCAGTGGCAGCTAACTTTGATTTAAACGAGGTTGAACTATTTCACTTTGAGGGGGATCATTCTGACGAAGAACCAATAAGGGAGCCTGACCCCGATGGTGATGAGTTAGGCCCCTTCTATGAAGAACCAGAAGACCTTGACATGCCACCAAAAGCATAAGACAACATAGAATACGACCAGGCTACAACGGTTCCACATGCTGCAATGTTTATTTCTTATTAACAACTACCATCACACTTTACAACAATTGATATGGAAGGATTCAACGCTCCAGAATTTTCCCAATTCTCAAACATTGAGCAATACAATCAACGTAGTGATGGTGATCTCTATGTTGGAATGATTTTCAGGTTAATATAATGTTTTAATTTTTCAATATTTATTTTGATTTGTTTAGTAAGTTGGCAATTTTATTTTCTCTTTTCACGAATGAGTTTTAAGACAAAAGAATAAGTTGTGGTTGTAATCAATAACTACAACATACGTCACTCTGTCACGTCAACTGTGAAAAAAACTGATACGAATAAGTACATCGTTGAATGTCTCCACAATAAGCATGGATGTAATTAAAGGGTTCATGTATCACGATTAAAGATGATGAACAACCTTTGGAAACTCATAAAATACGTCCAACCACATACATACACCGCTGACATCCTGAATCAAGATCATCATAACTTGGATGTGCACGTGCTTTCTGAAGCCTTCATTCCATTGCTCAAATCAAATCCACGTGTTACGATTGCGACATGCATTGCTTCAGTTACATCGCTATACGGGTACAAAGTTGACTACCACAAGGCATGATATGCAAGGTATCGGGGTCTAACAAAAATTATTCGAACAATGGGATGAATCATACAATGAATTGCGGTCAGGGCTTAAATTGATGCAGAAACAAATTCCGGGAACAATTGTGAAATTGGAAACAATCCAGACGTACAAAAATGATCGTGTTGTACAATGTGTATGCCAATTCTACCGACTCTTTTGGACTTTTCCACAATGCATTAATGCATTCCGACATTGCAAGCCGGTTGTTCAAATCGATGACATTTGGTTATATGTTTGATACACTCAAATAATGTTATTAGCAGTTGCACAAGACAACAACAGAAAAATTATTCCCATCGCCTTCGCAACTGTCGAAAAGGAAGGTATCAACTCTTGGGAATTCTTTCTTACGAACTTTCAAACACATGTTCTATCACATGTGATACATGATAGAGATGGTGGGATTTGTCTTATTTCTGGCAAATGCGTTAGTATCAAATACGCACTCCAACGTATGGGCCCGTCTTGCCAACCCCCCTAATATTTATCACCGATACTATTTACGACATATTGCCACAAACTATTTACAGAAGTTCAAGATTCAAGATGAACATCTAATGGTGCTTCGAATGGGTACATATTTCACCCTTTTCGGTTTACCATATCTTTAAAAAATTATTTCAAATTAATTGTTCCACCTTTTATTGATAGATTACACACAGTCCGTACGTGAGTTTGAGGACATGATGCAGGAACTGAGACACATGAAATCTGAGGGCTTCAACTACCTTACTAGAACCACAAAGGAGAAATGAATTCGATAATTTGATGGGGGTAGACGGTATGGTCACATGACAACGAACTTGGTTGAGGCAATAAATTCATCACTCAAGGGAGTGCACCATTTGCCTATCACATCCGTTGTCAAAACAACATATTATCGACTGATAACTCTTTTCACAACCTTGGGAAGACAAACAACTGGCTGGATGGCAGGTGGCCACCAAATCCACCCAGACCTCCTCTGAAAGTTACAATCATTTCAGCACCATTCCAACGCAATGAGTGTCATATGCTTCTCTCGCAAAATGTCATTATTTCGTGTATCAGAATTTACGAGGACATTGGAAGGAATGCAACACAACACATATGTGGTTAATTTACGAGAAAAAAACATGCGAGTGCGGATTCTTCCAAACTTTCAAATACTCATGTACGCACACCATTGCTGCTGTTGCTTCTGTCCGAATACTCTATATGAGATTTGTTGATCGAGTTTACTTACTTGGAATATATTCAAGGTTAATGAATATGAGTTCCCTCCCATTGAAAATGAATGGGATCTGGATGAAGCTAATGATGAACCTACAATACGGCTAGATTATTCACTACGACGAAAAAAATCAGTCGTCCAATGTCAACTCGGATTTTTTGTGACGAGGATTTGGTCGAACATCAAGAAAGAATAGGACAACCGAAATTATGCTCTATATGTAAGAATCCCGGACATACGAAGAAAATGTCACAATCGCTCAGACCCATGTATCAATTAAATGAGGTTGTTTTCATTATTTATTTTTTAATTAACAACACATATTTCTTAGTTTTCAATTTCTTTTGATTTCTTCATGCACCAAATCATGTATTCCAACCTTTTCCAACACGATTTTTACCCCATTAAAATATCTCGTTTGTGGCCAAATTAGCTTTAACATAAATATAAGTTGCAATACTATACCTCTAAGCATATAAATTCTGAAATCACTCATATTTACAAGCAAATAATAACACTCTAATATGTCTATCAAACCATTTTTTTCTTCTTCCTTCACAAAACCATGATTTCTAACAATTTTCAACGTCATTTTTACCCTGCTTGAAATGTTTTATATATGATGATATTATAGTCACCTTAAAGATAAATTGCAACACTACGTGTTTATAATTAAATTTTAAAAAAAAATCAATTTCCCACTTGAAAATAGTTTTCGAACAAGGCTATGGACACTAAAGGGGGTTAGGGACTCCGAAAGAACCTCAGGCTTTGCATGCCACGAGGTCCCCTATAAATCTCGTGATATTTTGGATCATAAAGGCTACATCGTGCTTCGTAATGAGTGAGGTCATTTTTATTCAATTGTTTTATTGGCTTACCTAAAAAATACAACCACGTCGGACGTATCTCGCTTGTTGGAGGGTGCGATGAGTTAACACGTGTTTTGCAGGCTGCGAGGTTGTCCTATATGGACAATTTAAGGGTTATTCTTTCAAATAATCTCTAGAGGATCTTATTTATGTAAATAATTATTTATTTGAGGTTTTTAAAATAAATTTGCCCCTCAACCAATCATATTCATAGTACCACGTGCACTTTGGACACCGCCGACAACCTATGACTTCATCCACGTAGATTTGCTTTTCTTTCACCCCTTTTATAGGATGTGTGAACCTATATTATAATATAAATAAATGTGATCAATTAATCATACTAGATGAACAATAATATCAACATATTATTCCCTTTGCTATAATTATATATCTTTCAAAAATAAAAGTTTTAAAAATTGTATGGATTAGTTGGAGGCTTGGAGCTTATGTCCTCAAATTATGCTCTAGATTTAGATTGGTCATCTTACTTCAAAATATTATAACCGAGTTTTTGAAGTATAAGTCTCGTATAAATTATATTATTAAGTCATTTTAATTGTCAACTTATACGTTAATTATTAGTTTGGATATGGAGTAGATCATATTTAAATTAAAAAGATTTAAATTTAAATACACGATAATTGAATATGTGCTAATTGAATGAAGATATACATCAGAAAATATATCATTTTTCTAAATTTTAATGATATTATCTAGTTTTTGGCACATGAATGTCATTACCAGTGTTTAAAATCTTATATATATTGCACAAATCAAGTGGGCTAAGTGGTAAAGGAATTGTTGTTTTTCCTTGAGGATCCGAGTTCGAGCACTATAGATGTTAAGGGTATGAACGATCAATGTCGAAAAATTAAAAGTTATCTTGAACATATATTACCTTTTACTTACCCAAGTTTAATAAAAAAAATCTTATCCATGTTAAATTTGAGCTATAACTGAATACCAAAATTGATTACTATGTTGGTGAAACAGTGAAAGGACCATTTTAATGCAATTCCAATGTTGTAGACTCAATTAAAACATATTAAAATTAAAGGTCGATTAACATCTGTGCACTACTTTGAGGATGCCTAATGAAATTAACCCTAATTTTATTATAGGTTATTAAGTTAGTAGAATGACTTAATTGATATAATACTAATGCGTGTTAAGCACTCAATCAAAATGTTTTAAAGTTTGAAGACCAATTTAAAACTTGAGATATAGTTTGAGAACGTCCAATCTAACGTGATTATCTGTGACTTTTTTTGTTATTTAATATCGCATTTCCATTCCCCGAGCTTTCTATAAATTGGAGAAATTTGGCCCTCTTATCTTTGATCTTTATTCGCTACCCGATTCTTCCTTGTTTTGCACCCACTCTTCTCCTAGCTACCTGCCGTTCTTTTATCTACTCTCCCCCCTCCCTCCCTCTCTTTATCTATATATTTCCAGCCCTTGTAGTTTTATCCATAAGCCTAACCAGTAGAAACAGAGATTTGTGAAATCAATGGGAGACTCTTCTGCTTCATACATCCACCTGGTAATAAGTAAACAATTAATTAAGCCTGTTAATTTCGTATTTCCACTTGTAATTTTCATCTCTATATTTTGTATGCAGGTACAGCATCTTATAGAAGAGTGTTTGATATTCAACATGAGCAAAGAAGAGTGCATGGAAGCTTTATCTAAGCACGCCGACATTATACCAGTCAAAACTTCAACAGGTTCTCAGCTGACCCACCCTTTTTTCTCTCTTTATTTTATTGCAGATTATAAGCTTACATGCACTGTAATATTTATTATATGATGTGTATGATTTTGGTTTTTCAGTTTGGAATGAATTGGAGAAAGAGAACAAAGAGTTCTTTGAGGCTTACATAAGGGGCAGAGGTCAGAAATCAAGTGAGAGAGAGAAAAGGCAAAGGATTCAGAAGAGGCTTAATGCTATCACGAAGGATTCAGAATAATACGAACGAGTAGAAAATGACGTCGCAGGAAGAGAATGAAGAATTGTATAACTCAACAGTAGTTGGGAAGTGCGACGGCATGTGAGAATGTGGGAGCAGTATATGAACAAAACGGGATTGCAGGAGGTGATGGCACGTTCGACAAACGTGGCACTGCCCTATTTGTTTACTTTTGTATTGGTGTCGTTTTATGTAACCCCACTTTTCTCTTTGGTCCTTTGCACATTTAAGAACTATACTAAATGCATGTATAGAAATAAATAAAAGATGTTTAATTAAAAAGGCCGACTTGGGGACCATGTTATGTTATAAAAGGGACGACTGCGTGTGTCTATTATCAGAGTCCCAAGGGTTTTTTGGGGGGTTTTGGAGCAATAGAAATCGCTTTATTCCATGCCCATCAAACAACCTTTCTCTGCCTTCGTATTATTTTGTGGTGTCGAAGTATGCGGTGGAGAAAACCTACTTCGCCTTTTTACGCTGATATGAGTTGGCCCACCCAACCCATTTGCCAACCACCTCAAGTATGCCGTGTTAGCTTAAAAACACACAAAATGAACTTTTCACATGCATGCATCAAATATTATCCGAAAGAGTTAATCTAAAAGTAAGTATTTAAAATATATTCTTAAAAATATTTTAGTCTATAAAATTTTTTTTACGAAAAATAGGTGTCTAATATTTTTTTCGCTACACTTTTCTCTGTTAAATAACAAGTTTCACGTCTTGATAATTTTGATAATTTATTTGAAAAATAAAAATGTTTTTATTAAAAAATAAATATATTATTTAAAAAAATATTATATACCCATTTTTAACGAAAAATTTATTTAGATACTAAAATATTTTTCAAGACATAATTTAGATACCTATTTTTATATTAAGTTTATCTAAATTCATTAAAAATGTTATTCAAATTTCTAAAATATTTTAATTCACTCAAAAGAAAATCAAAGATAACATTTCACTTGAAGAGGTTATCATCTCCCTAGTAGGTCAAAGATACTTTAATACAATATTATTCCCATCATCAAAGTGCGAGGCTAGGCTTGGGAATGTCAGATGATGACCATTATTTATCTGGGCACCATGAATGTGGAGCAAGAGTACTTAAAGTTAAACAGTTAAAAATTATTTTTAAATTAATATTTTTATATTAATATTAGATTAATAAAAAATTAAGATTTAATTTTATAATTTGTCTCTTATATTAATTTTTAGTGTTATGACTTATCTAAATCTTTTGTATTGTTGGCGTTATGTCGTAATTTTAATATATTGAAAATTATAAAACGAAGAAAGATTATATTTTTCAGGTGAACGTGGACATTTCGTTCTCTTTAATAGAACAAATGGTGAACACAATACATATAGTTTTTTTATTATCACATGTTAAAAAAATTTATTTGTACGATCTTAATCATTAAAAATTATCTATCTTGTATATTTTCTTCCATGCTATTTTTTAATGACAAATTTTCATTTTGTTTTTTGCATGTAAATATGAAGGTTGACGGTTACTTGAAAATTATTATAAGTGGATTAGTAACGTAGAATAAAAAGAATGAAATGATTATTTTTTATTGATTAAAATTATTAATCATATGATAAAAGAGAATTTATGAAATATTTTGTGAGATTTTTACTTTTTTTATTTGTCAATCATATCGTAAGGGCCAAAACTCTATTATACGAGCAGTTGGGGTTATTTTTCATCTCCCCCTACTTCTCGCTCCCTAACCCTAGTTGTATCGTCCTTGTCTGGCCTTGTAAAGTATATAGGTACTATATTAGAAGATTAAATAAATATATATTATATTGAACATTTAAAAGATGTATATATTACATTAAAATGATAAAGTATATAGGTAAATCTGTCAATTTCCCTTTTAGATTCTAAATATTATTATCTTATGTATACTATATATAATATCAGTGATTAAATTTGGTGTTAGAAGTTCAGGGATGAAATTAAAATAAAATTATAATTATTGTATTTGACATTTAAAAAAAATACAGTTACTACATTTGGGCTAATGTGCATTATCTCATTTAAAAATTTAATCGTATATAATAGGAAATTAATGGATTGGGCACCTTGATGGCTCAAGCTAAATTGGACAAATAATCATTGGGCCTCAATCACTAAATCCAACTACGGAAGACGCCGTCGTTTTCATGAAAAATACCTTAAATTCTGGATATCCTCGTTGATTGAAGGGTCCCCTTCGCCCTCTGCGTTATCATCAATCAGGGTTTTAGACAAAAAGAGAGAGAGAGCAAAAACTCTCTCTTTTCACTAAGAAATGGAGTCTCTTTCTAAAGTGAATTGCCGTCACCAAACTCTTCATCTCTCTTTCAATCAGTACCGACCGTATTTCGCTAAACCCGCGTCATCTGTCACCTTCAGAACTTCATCGTCATCATCGTCGTTCAAATTACCGTCTATCAGAGCTTCATCTTCCTCGTCATCTCCGTTGTAACGCGCTTCCACCAGAAACCTGCGCTCGCCGCCGCCACAACTGTAACACCCACGGTGGAGCCCTCCTCAACGGACTCGAATATTGCGTTGGAAGACCAAGAGAAAAACTTTGAGGAACACTTGACAGTGAACCCAAACGACATTGAAGCTCTACAGGCACTCATGGAGGTCAGAATCAAATCGAAGAAACTTCCACAAGCTATTGAAGTTATCGACCGTTTGATTGAGCTTGAACCCGAAGACGATGAGTGGCCAATGCTAAGAGCACAAATTCTTAGCTACAGTGGCGATTACGCTCAAGCCAAGAACGAGTTCGAAGGGATAATAGCTAAAGACCCAGCTCGAGTGGAGGCATTTCACGGCCTTGTAATGGCTTATTCGGAGTCAGGTCAGAAATTGAAAGAGCTGGAAAAAAGAATTGAAGGGGCAATGGAGAAATGCAAGAATGAGAAGAAAAATAAAGATTTTAGAGACTTTAAGTTATTGATTGCTCAAATTCGGGTCATTGAAGGAAACCATTCGGAAGCTTTGAGGGTATATGAGGGCTTGGTTAAGGAAGAACCAAGGGATTTTAGGCCATATCTGTGTATGGGTATTATTTACTCCTTGTTGAAGAAGAAAGATGAGGCCGAGAAATACTTTGAAAAGGTTAGGAGACTTGTCCCTAGGAATCACCCTTATAGGGAGTACTTTGTTGATAATATGGTGGCAACAAAGCTTTTCTCTGAAAAGGCTGAGAGGGAAGGCGCTTGAAAGAGCGAATAAACATTTGCTTTGTTTATCATCATTGGAGCAAAATGGTGGTTTTTACAAAGAGGTGCCCTTTGTTTTGTTTTTAATTACCTTTCAATGTTTTTGCAACAGTTTGGATAGTAATTTGAAGTTACTTAGGTATTTACCGTTGTAATATGCATAATGATAAAAGGCTGATAATTGTGTTTGATCAGTCGTTTCTCCGCCTGAATTTTGCATGGACATCTTAGGAAGCTTGATATGCCTCTATGTTCAATTGATTTTTGCATTAAATGATTTTTCTTGGTTTAGTATGAGCTTTGCTGAGTTTTGGTGATATTCCCTCATAACATATCGAACTGAACCTTGGAGATGTCGTCAAATTCTTCCCTTATGAGGCTAATTCGTAGGAGTAGATGTGGTTCATGAAAGATATAATATATGGTATTGATATTTTCAATTTGAGGCAAGCATTTTAGTTCTTTTGTATGTATTGGGAGTCGATAATTATCGCAGTAGAGATTGCTTTGTAGTAGCTATACATGCTGATGTTACAGTAGTTGCTTTATCATGAGACTGCTGTGATAAATGAGAATTTGCTAGAATTGCTGGTATGGAAACAGGGATGCGCAATGCACACATTCTCTAATTTTGCCCAAAGAAGAAGCAAGAGAGGGTGAAAAGTAAGTGTTCATCTGTTGTATTTCTGTTACAAAAGGTAGGAAATTTGAAGTAGTTTTCGGTTTCTTTCTCCATGAAAAGGTATTCTCATCAAACTTCTTAACTTGCAACGGCTTCAGCCTTTGATGTTGTGGCATTTTAGGTTACATGTGTCAATTAGAAAATACCCCATAGACAGTATACCTAAAAAGAAAACGTAAATGCCTGTAAAATCTAGATATATAGGACTTTCAGAGAGTATACTTACAGGGGCCAGTTTATTTTCTTTTCTGGTGAGTTATGAGCTGCATGTGCGTATGAGATTAGAAGTTTTTGAAGGAATTCAGTGCAAAACATGATTTGAGCTCATGGCCGGTGGATCACTTTCATTTTAGAGTAGAGTTTATATATCGTGATTGGTAAGTTCTTGTATTACTTTGATTTAGAAATTTTGTTCTCCATTACCTTTCACCTTCTTTCTTTTGCAGCCTGGGCTGGCTAGTTTCCAAATATGTATTACAATGATGTGCATATCAATGCACATATTTGGTTTAGAATTCCTCGTGCTTATTAGGGGTGAATATTGATTGTTGAGTAACAAATTTCGAGTGATGAATCTTATTTTATACTTTATTTTTTAAATTTTTTTATTCGAGTCTAGTAGTTTGAGTTTCTGTTTAAATTTAATTGTAAATATTTATAACATTATGATACTATTTTATTTCAATTTAAATATTTTTATAACCCATAAACAGTATACATATTTTTTTCATATCTAATACATGTCATACAAAGTCGAGGGACTCGACTCAACTTGAAAAATGAATTCACTAATTATTAAATTTTTTTGAGTTACCCGAGTTCTATTTTATAATTCAATTCGAATTTAAAATTGTTTGACTTAATCGCTCAATAAGCCTCGTGCGGCCTTAGCTCCTTTTCGCCCCTTGCGATAGCTAAGTCAGCCTCACTCGAACTCGTGCTAGAGAAAGGGTTGGCAAGGAAACAAAGAAGAAAGGAAAGAACTTAGAGAGAAGTTGTTGAATGCTTGAATGCTTACAACTCTTGGATGATTTACAATGAGGATTCTACACCTTTATAGCATCCCACCTCCTCAATGGACGGTGGAGATTGATTTGATCCTACGGTAAGGAGAGATTCTCTAGAATTCTCCATTATTTCCTACCTAACATGGAAGACTCTAGAATGCTTCTAGAATAGTACAAGTCTTGAGTGTTCTAGAATAATCTACACTATTCTATCAACCTCCAAGACCAAATAAATGAGGATTCTACACCTATTTATAGCATCCCACCTCCTCAATGGACGGTGGAGATTGATTTGATCCTACGGTAAGGAGAGATTCTCTAGAATTCTCCATTATTTCCTACCTAACATGGAAGACTCTAGAATGCTTCTAGAATATGTACAAGTCTTGAGTGTTCTAGAATAATCTACACTATTCTATCAACCTCCAAGACCAAATATGGCCCAACATAGCCAAAATAGCCCAAAGTGTGGGGAAAAGGCCCAATTTCGTGACACTGGGCTGGCTAGTTTCCAAATATGTATTACAATGATGTGCATATCAATGCACATATTTGGTTTAGAATTCCTCGTGCTTATTAGGGGTGAATATTTGATTGAGTTGAGTAACAAAATTTCGAGTTGATGAATCTTATTTTATATTTTATTTTTTAAATTTTTTTATTCGAGTCTAGTAGTTTGAGTTTCTGTTTAAATTTAATTGTAAATATTTGTAACATTATGATACTATTTTATTTCAATTTAAATATTTTTATAACCCATAAACAGTATACATATATTTTTTCATATCTAATATACATGTCATACAAAGTCGAGGGACTCGACTCAACTTGAAAAATGAATTCACTAATTATTAAATTTTTTTGAGTTACCCGAGTTCTATTTTATAATTCAATTCGAATTTAAAATTGTTTGGGGACGGATTTATAAAATTATGAGTTGAGTCGAGTTGAATTGAAAAATTCAATTTTTTTTTAATTGAGTAAAGTTTTACTCACCTCTACCACAAATGCATATTCATGTACATATTTGCTTCACGAATATGCTTTGATTGTGTGGTTTGATGATGTACTTTATTAGTTGATTCAAATTGATAGTACTGTAAAGTGATTTTTTTAGTCACTTTTTCATTTTAGCGATGACTATTGTCATTTAGAATCTATTAATAATATTATAAAATGAAAAATAAATTATACGAAATAAAAGGATGAGTAGAAGATAGTTGAGAATAAAAGAGGCATATGATTCCTCCACTGCTTTCTCCTTACTTTGTTCAAAGCAACAGTGATTCTGATTCGGCTAACAATACCAAGTTCCATACGAACACTAAAATTCATCAGTTTCACGCCCAAAAGCAGTCTAATTTGTAAACAATTTTGAATTCAAAGATTAATAAGATGATTACATCATTTCTTGGTGGAGGCAAGAGGTGGTGTTGCAGTTGCAGATGTCTAGAATTGTGCATTCTTCACCTTTGAGACGCTAGCAAGTACTCTCGACGGCGTTACCTCTCCCATGATTGTCACCTTCTTCGCCTTGAAGTCAATGTTGAAGGACGCCACACCTTATCCAATCATTGCCTAGACAAATACTTCAATTCAACCCTTAATTAAATTGATTAAAACCAGAAATGATTAATACCTTCCATTCTTGATAGATGCTTCCACAGTTTTCCTTCACATCCTTTGCAGTGCAATGACACCCTTAAAACCACAACCTGAAATCAATTGAAAATTAGAATATTGTTACAGGTTAACCGAACTCACTGAGTAGTCAGAAAGAGAGCAAACCTGGTCTCTGGGAGGCTTCTGATTGAAAGAGGGGGAAGAGGATTTGGAAATGATGGAACGTTCTTGTGTTACAGCTTGAATCATCTTGTTTTCCTCAGCAGGAACCAATGCCCAAACTGGATCATAATCTGATAAAAAAACAGAATCACCCAAAAGATACCTTGAGGAACCAGGAGGGGTGACAAGATCAATCCCGTTGGCCTTTCCATTACCGGTTTCCTTCAACCAACTCTTCTTAGTTGAGCTCGTCTTCTTTTGGTCATTGGACTTGGCTGAAACAGACGGACAAGTCTTTTTATGATCATTTTTCGACTTGCTTGAAGAAGACCCTTTCCCATTCTTCCTCTGGTTGGAAGGCAAAGGATTTGTGTTGAACCGTTTAGCGTCTCGGATGATGGGATTATGGCGATCGATGGCTCGACCACCGAGTTGAATGGCAGATGACGAGGAAGAAGACGATGAGGCTGATTCATCCATGCTTAGATACATGGATGTTGAATGCGCGGAACATATCCATTCGTTTCAACAAAAAAAAAAATCTCTCTTTGAGTTAGGATATTGGTAGCACTCAAGTGTAACCAGTTGTTTAAAGAACCTGCATAATAAGGGAGTGAAAGAGGGCAGATTCCGACAAAAAGGTTGCTGCTGCTACTTCCATGTTACACGAACCTGCTATTCGATTTGTAATGTAAAGTGAGGTATTTGTAATTTGAAAAGAATTAAATATCAAATTCAATTCATTTTAGTCCAGTAAATCGATTTTCAATATTTGAATGTTAGTTAAAATTTAGAGTGGAAGTAATTTTTTTGAATTATCCTACATATAGGATTTAAAGTCAAAATTCATGGGGTTGGTTGAGGAAGAAGTAAAACGCCATATAGGATTTAAAGTTTGAGAAAGTAAAAGCGATATTCTTATACAACACATGCTGCCAGATATTTTGGAATTCTTTTTTAAACTATATAAATTCTCCTTCACAAATTTTGTGGAATCAGATGCTGCGAAAATGCCTCCCCTTTTACCACTTCTGGCTCAATTCAAGAGTTTTTATGCTATTCATGTCAAATTTTATTATTACTTGCTCTAATTATTATCTTTTTAAATTTCAGATGTGATCTCAACATTATTAAATTTTAAATACTTAAATGAGCAAATCGAAAAATGTATTACGTTACAAATTACGTATAATCCAAGATTTATTTTTTAATGACCCAAATTTAAGTAGCCATGTTTGTCAGTGTAAGATGATATTTATCTACTTTAGAATGTTTAAAAAATATAATATTTATGAATTCATCAAGTTACCTTAATGATAGAAGAGAATGTTGTTTTCTATAAAGGTCTTGAGTTAGAACAATTATCATTAAGTAAGATTTTTTTTGAATAAATATTATCTTGTAACCACCCTAAACTATTTAAAAAATATTTTTATATGTTTTAAATGTAAAAAAAAAATATTTTTGTAATTTAAATTCATGCCAAGTCGTTCTGAAATTAAAATATCATTTCGAAAGCTCGGGTCACACGACCCATACCTAATGTCACAAACTAAATCTCTCCACATATAGTTAGAAATTTGGGGACGATTATGAAGTGTTCTAGAATATAGCTAATAGTTCTAGAACACAATGGAAAGAGCTAGAACACAATGGAGAGTTCTAGAATACTTTGGAACGTCCTAGATTGTTCTAGAACTTCATGAAAGGTTTTGGAACATCATAGAAGGTTCTAGAAGCTTATAGAGTATTCCCTAGGTCTAGGTTATTCTAGATTTATATAGAAAATTCTGGATGTAAAATATAAACCGTAGGATCAAACAAATCTCCATCGTTCGTTAAGGAGGTGAAAGACTATATAAAGGAGCCTTGGCCATTTGCTAATAAAGCATTCTCCAAAGCTAATAAAGTTTTCTTCTAAGCATTCAATACTAAGATCTTTGGGGTTTAAGTTGACTTGGCCACTAAGAAGGAAGTGTCTAAATGCCACACATATCAGAGAAAAATATAAATCAGTGACACTAATTCCAACCCAAATTTAATAATATTACTCGACTGAAAATGAATGTCCAAATGAAGAAAAAGCCTACATGATGCAATTCTCCAAAGTCTTAATTCCTCTCTTACTTCTTTACCTTCAAAATTTATAGGGTTTTAGCGAAGAGATCAGTGCAGCTGCAATGGCAAAACTCACAACAGGTAAGAGAAATAGGCTCAAATTTAGTTCATTTTTAATTCCAAAATGATTTTCGATTGCTAATTCCAAATCAAGAATAAAGATTAAAACAATAAAGACTAAGATAATAAAGATAAATAAAGACAAGGAAGATTAACATAAAATAAAGAATTGATAAAGATAGAATGACTTAACCAAATTAGGTTTATGGCCAAATCATAGAGATGGTGGCGTTGATGATATTGATAATGAAGATAGATATGATGAAAATAGATGGATAATTGTCCTATCAAACCCTCCTAGTCGCAATGAAAAATCGAACTCTATTAATGTCTCTAACCATTCTCTTAATAACAATGAAGAGACAAACTTGAATGTGAAGATCTCTCACAAAAACCTTAATGAAAATAAGATTCGAAGACACACATAATCAACATTTGTCAAGATAAACTCTCAATGTATTGTATTCAAGAAAAGATGTATTTAAAATTATGGGAGGAGCCTCTTTTATATAGGATGAATGAGTCCTTGTTGTAGTGTGAATGATGCTTGAAAATAATAATAAAATTAAGGGTAATCTATGTCAAATACCACTTATCTTTAAGCTTGGGCTCTAAAATGCCATCGACGTTTCAATTTTGCCAATTTTAGCACGGACGTTTATGTTTCACTGCAATTTTGCCACTCCACCGTTAATCCGTTAATGGAACGATAACATGCATCTTTTTTCCGTGACGGCGATAACATGGCACCCTCATCAAAACGACGTCATGCCAAAACGATGTCGTTTTGTTCGTGAAAAATATGTTTTTCATGAGATTCGAACCATAAACCTTTAGAGTCCAAATCTAAATACCCAACCACCAAATCAACTTAAGAACTTGGTATAACCTTAACAAAACTATTATAAATGTTCATCACTACCACCGTCGCCCTCATTATCTTCCTCGTTATCTTCTCTTAAGAACTTCACTTTGGTTACACTGATATCACCACCGACTACAAAGAAACCAATGGGCATAAGGACATAAGGATAATAGTTGTAATGGTGAGGCCTCCCCTGATGTCGGGCTCGTATGTGCAAGGCCCCTATGGTCCTTTGTTTCATTCCCCATGCATGGTTTCTGTTGCGAGTTGGAATCCCTATGCGGTAGGTAAATTAAAATTTTATTCAGTTTCCTTAGCTGTGAATAATTTTCATTAGATTTTATTCTTGAGGTTGTTAATGCACCTGATGCAGCCACCTGTTTGTCCCAATACTCAAGCCACTATTGGATCGAGCTCAGTTTTTGGAGTAACATCATTATCTCCATCAGCACATGCCTATACTCGATCTTATCAACCTGTAATTCCTGGTGTTGTGTCTTCGAGTAGTATTCATCAGGAGCAGTCATTTCCGGAGAGACCTGGCCAACCAGAATATTAGTATTATATGAAAATAGGTGATTGTAAATACGGATCCTCCTATAGATATCATCATCCAAAAGAAGTGCCTGCACCAAAAGCTGATGTCGTCCTCATCCCTCTTGGTCTTCCTGTTCGTCCAGAAAGAATTTGTAAAATGCCATATAAATTTGATGCTGTTTACAAGGTTGGGTTTTAAAATTTTAAGCACGCTTAATGCTTCGTAGTGGTTAGCATGCTTTGTTTCTTGATGAAACTCAATTTGCAATGAACCACAAAAGTTAAATGAAGAAAACTATCATGAAATTGTTATGATTGAGTTGTTTTATTTATTTATTCATGCTCCATATCCCTGTATACTTTTTTTGTGTGGTCTGGTGTTCAGGTCGAGGTGTATCAGTATCACCTTTCTTTCTTGATGTCATTCTACCTATGTTTCTATCAACCAGTTAATTTCTAAGGTTTTTATGTATTAGTCGAGAGTCTTTGGAGGATTATATCCTTATGCCCATTTCCGGCACGTACGGTGGTAGTCGATGGTGATATCAGTGTAACCAAAGTTAAGTTCTTGAGAGAAGATAATGAGGAAGATAATGAGTGTGACGGTGGTAGTGATGAACATTTATAATAATTTTGTTAAGTTATACCAAGTTCTTAAGTTAGTTTGGTGGTTGGGTGTTTAGATTTGGACTCTAAAGGTCTACGGTTCGAATCTCATTAAAAACATATTTTTCATGAACAAAACGACGTCGTTTTGAGCTTTTTGAGCATCAAAACGGTCATGCCAAAACGACGTCGTTTTGATGAGGGTGTCATGTCATCGTCGTCACGGAAAAAAGATGCCATGTCATCATCCCGTTAACGGATTAATGGCGAAGTGGCAAAATTGCAGTGAAACATAAACGTCCATGCTAAAATTGACAAAATTGAAACGTCGATGACATTTTCGAACCCGAGCTTAAAGATGAGTGGTATTTGACATAGATTACCCTAAAAATAACAATAACAATACTATCATAATTCCTAATAACAATAAAATAAACTAAAGATAATTGTTTTAACTCTATCTTAATTCCTAATAAAATAATAAATCTAATCATAAAAAATAATGCATCATCCTATATTAAATTATATTACAAATAATCAATAAAAATATTAAAAATTCATAATATTTACAAAATCTCGTATTAATTATATATAGAAATTTTTGCATGTGCTATCTTCACTAAAATGAGTGTATCTTGAGTTTCCGATATCATATTGACACGCCGTTGGAAAGCAAAGAGACAACCAGTCATAAGTTCAGGAGACATGTCTACCAAATAATAACATGATCCCATTAAAAAAAAAGTCTCAAGTCTACTACTATGCTATTCTTCTTTTCCGAGACTTGGTTGTGTGGGTAAATTGGAAGTTTTAGTCCATCTTCCTTTGACTTTCTGGGTTTATACGCATGTATCTTTGAATACAAAGGTGAAAAGAAGAAGGAGATGTATTTCCCACTAAGGAAATATTGCCATCAAAGTGTAATCGAATCTAGCTTCTTCCTTTTCATTCTTCTCTCATGCTGTTTATCAAAGTTTAAAAAGTTGAGTTGTGGCTTAGATGCAGTTATATGAGGATCATTTTTGTCCTTTTATTACTATTCCTGCAACATCTGTTTGAGCTCTTGTAATATGATTTATCGTTTCACAATGCGTTTAACTAATACATGCAAGTAATTTTGTTAGTTTTGCCTTATTGAATACACTCTAAATCTAGCTTGTCTGCGCTTACTTTTACACATTTTATGTGGGATGTCTAACGTGTTTGGAATGCTTGTGGCTGTAGAAAAGTACTCTTTGACCGCACACTTTTTAGAGAGGAATCTTCTATTATATTTAATTTTACAATTAAATTAATATACTTTGTAAGTTTTTTTTCTTGAGAAAATTCCTTGAAAATCTTATTAAATTGGGTTAGGAGAATTATTTAAATATTAAACTTTTTGCAAAATTCGATACATATTAAGTAATTAATAAATTAGATATTAATAGTAATACTAGAAAGATATTTCAGAAAATATATGAAAGTAGACTGATTTTATGTAAAATCAGAAGTCGATCTGCTATAAAGAAATGCATATTTGTGGGGGAATATTTTGCCATCCTTGGTCAGATTAAGCTAAAATAATCTGAAAACAGCTGTGAAAAGTCAAATGTATTGCAAAGAGGATTTATTCAAATTCAAGCACAAGTCAAATCACAAATGGAATATACCCCAAAACATGGTTAGGGTTAGGAAAAGTAATATCCCAGAGCTGGTTGTTCGTTAATAGTTTCAAAGTTAGTTATTGGCCCCAACTAACTGGAATTGGTCTGGATCCTTGGGTTTATCCGTTTCCATGCGTACCCTACAATCACAAAAACAAAAGAAACGCAATAAAAACTTGGCACTGTCATTACATAATTGAAGTCTAAATCACCGTCTTTCGATGGGACCTGCTAAAGAAAAAGGTATGAATATCTTTTTGGTTTTCGAGGAATCCCAGATTAATGAAATGGAAATATAATGTTGTTTCCCCTTTCAATGTAACGTGACATTCAAGGATTCTTTTAAATGAAGGAAAAAGTTGTAATGTGTCTAATTTGTTTTTTTTAAGGAACATGGTCGATCTAAGTATGCGATAAGGGAGTTTCACCATGGCATGGCCAGTTGACGGAGACAATATTGCTGTCTTCTCCAAAGACGCCGAGGCCTGTTATTGTTCTATCCAATTCTGGGAAGGCCTTGGCCGCATCGAATTCCCGGAAGACCCTGGTGGTGTCCAATTCCGAAAATCTCTAGCAGGTTCTAGTTCCGGAAAGCTATTCGATAAAAAGTACGTGAAACAAGTCACCGGCCACCACAATGACACCGAGCTACACCTTGCAGCACAGCGAGGTGACGTCGAAGAAATCAGAGAGATTCTGGCAGAAATTGATGCTCAAATGACCGGGACGCTTAGTGGAGCGGAATTCTATGCTGAGGTTAGTTGTTTAGGAACCACATTGTTCTTATCATCACATATACAATGCCGGCCGATGTTCTGATACCGTGTATATGCTTTTTTCATAAGGTGGCAGAAATAAGGTTAGCTGCTGTGAATGAGCTTAATTATTTGGGGGAGACAGCGTTGTTCACCGCAGCCGAGAAGGGGCATTTAGATGTGGTGAAGGAGCTGTTGCAGTACACGACCAAGGAAGGCATTGCGTTGAAGAATCAATCCGGGTTTGATCCGTTGCACATTGCGGCAAACCGAGGTGACGAAGGTATTCTTCCACTGCATCTTTATATGTCACAAGCCTTTCGTTTATGTTGTTTAGTGCAAATTACACCTTAGGATGCTGCATTTGGATTAAGTTCGATGACTACCATGATGCAGCCATTGTCCGGGTGCTATTGGACCATGATCCGAGTCTAATTAAAACGATTGGGCAAGCCAATGCGACACCTCTGGTATCTGCAGCTATGAAAGGGCATACTGCTGTAGCGATTGAGTTGTTGAGAAAAGATCCGAGCTTGCTCGAGATCCCGAAAGCAAACGGGGAAAACCCATTGCACTTTGCTTCCAGGCAAGGGCACGTGGATATTGTTAAAGTATTGCTTGACAAGGATCCACAATTGGCAAGGACTGATAAGAAAGGGCAAACTTCTCTGCATACGGCTGTCAAAGGAACTAGCTCTGAGGTGGTGAGGTTGATTCTTCATATGGATTCTGCACTCGCCATGATACCGGACAAGTTCGGTAATACGGCATTGCATATCGCAACTCGGAAAAAACGGACTGAGGTATCAATTATCTTCGTACCTATATCATATATGTCATCCTGGGATTAGACCTGCTAGTAGATGACATTGTCACATTGACTATGTTGTTTCTTGCAGATAGTGAACGAACTCTTACTTGTCCCTCACACAAGCGTGAATGCGCTTACAAAAGACCGTAAAACACCTCTCGACATAGCCGAAGGGCTGCCGTTCTCCGAGGAAATGTCCGAAATAAAGGACTGCTTGTTTAGTTTCGGAGCCGTTTCGGCGAACGAGCTAAACCGACCGCGAGACGAAGGAAAACAATGAGAGAGATCAAGAACGATATGTTTATCCAGATTGAACAAACACGAAGAACGAACCGAAATGTGAACGATATTGCCATGGAACTGTGTAAACTTCACAAGGCAGGTATCAACAATGCCACCAATTCGGTCACCGTGGTATCCGTTCTTTTCGCAAGCGTTGCATTCGCAGCTATCTTGACAGTTCCGGGAGGTGCTAACGACAGCGGACGTGCCGCCGTGGTTAGCGGTGCACCGTTTAAGATCTTTTTCATTATCAACGCGGCTGCACTCTTCATCTCACTCGCCGTCGTGGTGGTACAAATCACGGTCGTAAGGGGCGAGTTGAAATCGGAGAGAAGGGTGGTGAAGGTGATCAATAAGTTGATGTGGCTGGCGGCCGTGTGCATGAGTATTTCATTCATATCGGCGTCGTATATAGTGCTCGGCCGGCATTACAAGAGGGCTGCATTGGCTGTAACAGTTATTGCCGGAGTAATAATGGGAGGAGTTCTTACCGTCATGACTTTTTTTGTGATCAAACACAAAAGGACTCGGAAAGAGAAGAGGAAGAAGAGATCAAGGAGCGGAACACGGTCCTGGCAGTTATCAGAATCCGATCATGAAGTCAAAGCTCTATGCCATTTGATGGTCATTATTTTTATTTTTGTAAATTTTGATCAAATCAAAAAAACGTAATTATTGATTTTTCAGATTTATAATTCTATATTTTTGATGCCTTCAATTATTGATTTTTCATATTTTTTAGTATTTACACAAATTATATCAGCATCTAGTAAACTTATTTTTCAATTGTCTAACGTGAATAAAATTAAAATTTACCATAAATAATATCATTATAGATTTAACTTCATGTATTCTATGTTTCTTCCAATAAACACCACAACATTTGACATTACAAATACAATCAACTATCAGTTTCTCTAGTGGTAGTTTTTGCTTCAGTAACACGTAATCTTACACCCTTTTTTCTAACCTTTAAAAACAGTAAGGGTAGCTTCTTCATCATGCAAACTAGATAGATTAGGCAGATATTTGGTTAGCTAGTTGGGTATAAGGTTCCTTCTCGAATGCATCGTATTCCCACTCTTCGATTTTATCCGTTTCATCCTCTAGACTCACTTCGTAGTCTTGTTCCAACTCGAACTTCAGTTTTTTGTGATCCGTTTTCTTTAAGGAAGACTTTAGTCGTGACCAAGGACTTATCGGCGACTTGGTGGTGGATGGTGACTCTGATATATGAGTTGGATTTTCAAGATCCAGAATTGGTCTCTCAATGGATTCAAATTCTTGCCTTATACTTTCAAGATAATCAAATAGCTCTTTCAGCTTGTCGTATTTCTTCCTGGATGGTGGCCAAGTAACATTAATGGCTGCTTAATGTAATATACATTCATAAAGGGAAATGAAAAACAAGATAGAGCTGTTTACCTGTAACTTCCCTCATTTGGAGAATAAATCTGTGTTTTCATTGAACCCACTACACTAAAGGTACTTACAAACTGAAAAAAGGGGGTTTAATTCCATCGGATGTCCCCAAATGATGATTCAAATTCTAAATTGGTCCAAAACTGCAAAACATTTTAACTAAATCATCAAAGTGTCTTTTTTATATCAATCAAGTCCATCCATCACCGGACCAGCCAAGCCATCAGTGTTTAAAATATGATTTTTGTATTTCAAGTATGCTCCATGTCAAACCCAAGTTGGCATTTAACACCCAAACTAATGGCTAGGCTGACGGGAGGACTTGATAAATAAGATATTGATACTTTGAAGATCCAAATAACACGTTTTGAAGTTTAAAGACCAATTTAGAATCTAGGTAATAATTTGGGATGTTTGGTGTAATTAAGAAAAAAACGTTGTTATTTCTTAATATGATAAAATTAATATTTTGCATATATAAATATAATGAATGAGATTGATACATACTTTGGATTCAAGGCTTAAATACTCTTCTTCAAGATTTCTTCTTTGGTCCTTAGCTGTTTCAGTTGAGACCAAGTTTTCCACTAGTTGCCTAATTCTTGCGAGGGAAGGCCCAAGTTGTTCCTTAAGAATAAAGGATAGAAACTAAATAAAAATGAGGGGGCATGAGTTGCAAAAGACTGCATGGAAATGAATAGGAATTACAGGATATTATTAAGTTTTTGACAAGCTTTCATGGATAAGATTGTTGGAAGAGTAATACCTTGTAAGCATTTAGAAGGTGAGAGACCAGTTTCACAAAATATTCTCCATATCTTTCTAGTTCACCACTAGTAGATTAAAATAAAAAAGAAAGAAAGAAATCAAAACTCGTATTTGAAATTTCAGAGTTAGATATGATATTGACAAGATTGTGATATTACAACTATTCCTTGTTTTAAGAGGATAAACTATGTTTGTCAGACTCTTTGATATATTTTTTGAATAATCTGTGTGCGGAGTACGGGGGTAAAACCCTCCAAGTACTTTCCAAAAACATGCAAAAGCTTAAAAATTGAACTTATTAGTTATCTATGTCGAATACATACCCTTATCCGACACACACACACAAAAAGGTTGGAGTAACATATATAAATAGTCAATAGAAGCAGTAGCATCAATCCAGAGTTAGATATGAAATATGGTGATATTGCAACCATTTCTTGTTCTTAAAAGGAGAAATCTGTGTTGGTCAGAATGCCCTTTATCTGACAATCACACTCGGGTTTGAGTAATGATAGGATCAATAGTCAATAGAAGTGGTAGCACCAATTCAATAGGTGGTAGAAGAAAGGATGTACATACTTGACCTGCTTCTCCTTCTGCTTGAGGTAGGTGGTTTGGAGAACCCATGTATTTTCCAGAAAATGAATCCACACATTAACAACGTCTGCTTCTACTCGGCATAAAGCAATCGATTTTAAAATTTCCTCTTCCTATGAACAGAAGAAACAGATGGCAAGTTTCTGAATATAAATAGAGAGATAGTTCGGCTTATAAAAGCGTTTCATCTAACTGGTACTTAAAAGCAATTATACCTTTGATGACAGTTGTGATAGAATCTGGTTACTGGCATCATCAAATTGCTCTCGCTCTTCCCTGGCATTGCGGAGGCATACACGAGCAGCCACAAGTGATGCATTGACCTGAACAAGATTCATAATCATATCATAATCCCACTCTGGAAAATATTGAGAAACCCCTTCCGGATAATGCATCTTATGTTCGACTCTCACTTTTCCTAAAATCTAGAATCTGACACGTGTCTGACATATGTTGGACATAGTTAGAAGGATATGATCCACTAAGGACTCTAATAAACATACCCGTATTGGAAAAATACCAGTATCTGACATACAGGACCAGATATGTATATATGTAAAAGAAGAAATAAAAGGGTAAAACTGAAGCTTAACTATGTAATGACAGATGATAAACAATTCATAAAAGAATAGGATTTCCAAGAAGTAGTAGTATTAAAGTAAACCTTTCTAAGTTCAGCTTCAAGTTCATCTTTTTGTTTTTCAAGCTCTAGAATCCCAGCTTCCAGTTCCTGGGAAATTCAATATCAATTATCTTTGATATACTTATAGATAAGAAAAGAAAAGAGGAAAATTTTGTTCAATCTGCAAATGTTACACCAGAAACCAGTTGAAAATCACCACTGATCCATAGACAATAATTGGAAAACTCGAAGTCCCCATCGATTTGATAAAGAGAAGGGAATAATAAGCATTGCCTTGAGATCAATGCCCTCTATGTATTTCAGGAAGAAAACATTCAAAGTGAATGATTATGGGAAGTTCTTCATTTCATATTCTGATAAGAAAAGAAAAGCGCTTCGCTTGATAATTAATACCTTCTCTTGTTGGTTGACTTCGTTTGCTTTAGCAATACGAAAGCTAATTGCTTCTTCTTTTTTGAACCCTGATTGAAACACACAGAGAAAAGGAAATTAAAAAAAAACTAAAATGAGAGAGAAAATTCAACCAAACTAATAAGGAAACAGTAAAATGCCTTTCAAACACAAATGTATGAATGTATTTCCCTTTTTTGACATATATAGGGATAATATATTTGTTGTTGCATGATAATGAGAATTTAACCAGCACAAGTACAACCGATTATCACAAGAAAATTCCCAGATTCATGTTACTTTTAGTTCATTTCATTTTGGCTCTGAATCTTTATGTTTCTTAAAGTACCGATATTTCCCACTCATAGCTAATAGATTTTCAGACCCATCCTCCAAGGTCCTTCCACTTGTATGGAAAAATTAGAGAAAATAAAAGTTGAACAAACCCATACCAGACACATTCTCGTATCCGATACACTCTCATTCCCAAGTTACATAGGTTAATTTTACTCCAATAAAATTTGAAAACCCATGATAGGTTCATTTCAATCCAATAACTTTAAAAACTAAAACCTATAATCAACATGGTCCAATTATCAAACTAAATAACAAAATTTCAGTAGCCCTTGAAAGGTTAGTGCATATATAAAAAAGTGAAAGGGAACTCAATTGTTTTAAAATATTCCAAGCTGGAAATGTGAAGTTGCATTTAAAACCTTTGCTCTAAAATGCGCTTTTCAGCCTTTGATGTTGAGTTAACGAGAGATTCTGATAAAACTTTTAATTTATCGACCTGCAACAAAAATGGATTATATTAGCTATTTAACTGTTACAGTAAGCAGAAAACTGTGACATCATTCTGGTGTTCTTTTCAACAGCTTATGTATAATTTACCTTTCGAATGGATTTTGTTTTTCCAAACAGATCTTTCCAAGAAATGAATGTAACAAAGACATTTTCATTAGAATAACATAGTAGAGCAGGTAGAATTACCAGAAAAATGATACAGCAGATAACGATCACTTGCTGTCTAATAGGATGGCATTCAGCTCTTAACAAAAGGACCTTAGAGTCGGGGACAAGGCTCAAGAATTTTATATTGAGAATGGGAGAAAAAAATAGGATCAAATATGAAGTTTAGAGGGCCAAAATATATGCAAGATGATTATTAAGGTCCAAGGATTTTGGAGAGGAGCCAAGGAGGGCCAAGGCCCCTGCCTTCCCCCTTTGGATCCACCCCTGCTTATAGTCTTGTGCATGTTTGAAAGAGAAGCATTAATTGTTAGCCAGAAATCTTGGACATTTTGCAGTTCACTAATTGCTATGTATCATAAACAAAGAGATAGGAGGTGGAAGAATGGTACCTTTTCAGCATGAAGTTCTGGAGTATCCCCATTGCATAAAGATTTTTTCTTAAGTAACAGTGCCTCCTGTAACATCCTCAATATCGGGTTAGTGACCAAATTGTAAAGTTTCGGAATTTGGTGACTAAAGTATAAGAATGAAATAGTTCAAGGATTATTGGATACATATGATGAAGGTTATTTTGTAATTGTTAAAGGAAATGAAGGGCAAAATGGTAATTGGTTATGAAAGATATTTTTTATATCCCTTTATTAAGAGATAAAAACATGAGAAGATGAAAGCATTTCATCTTCTTCTTCCTTTCTCTTCCTCTCCCGTAAGAGCAAGGGCAAAGGTAAGTTTCTTCATTAGTTGATTATTTGTTCAATTCAAGGTTGGGTTTTGATTATTAGATGATAATTAAGCTTAAGGAAAGCTTAATTTGTTCTAAAACAACAATATGAAAGGTATAAGAGAGATTAAAGATTTGGAGTTTTTATATGAAACTTTGGAAAAGGATTGATAAGTAGAATTTGAAGTTGAATTTGACTTGTCAATGGTTAAATTAAGAGATTTGGAGTGATAGAATTTGATTTAGAACACATTGAAAATTTGGTATGATTTTTGAATCTTATATGGATGATAGAATTCTAAGGTTTAAGATGAAATAAATGAATATAGATTGGTTTAAGTATGTGTACTAGAGTTAAGAATGAAAAGGGGATGATATATGAAGTGTTTGAGAGAAATTGAAGTGATTTTCGAGCTTAAAATATGAGTTCTGGGCAAGGGGAATCGGTACCCATTCAAGGGGAACCGATACCCCTTCAAGCGACAGAATTCCAGAAGGCCAGAGGGGAACCGATACCCCCACAGGGGGGAACCGATTCCCCCTATAGGAAAATGTTAATATTGGTTTAATAGTTCGTTTAAGTTGCTAGTATCCACTTAAAAGGTGTAGGTATCTAATAATTGTCTTAAATTGTATAATTATGTAGATTCAAAGCCTAAACGAGTTCCGGAATCATTGACAAGTAAGATCGATAAAAAGGGAAGATAAGAGATTGAAAGGGACTAGTGAGGCCAGGTGAGTGCATATTAATTAGTTTATGGTGCTAAATGGAAACAAGACTTGCGACAAGTTTTCCTCTGTTAGAAAGCATGAATATATGATTATACGTATGAATGACATGAATTGTATGTATGCATGATTCTATGTTAACATGCTTTGAATGTAATGTTATGAGAAGTATGTGCTATGTAATGTATATATGAACATATGTGAAACTGAACTATGTGACTGCATGAGAAGATATGAATCATATGACATGATATATGTGAACATGAGAAAACAAAGTATAAGATAAGATTTATGTGATTACATGCAACGTATGATATTAGATATATGATTACAAGTACATGTGATACGTGACTGAAAAGAAAAGATATGTGGTTATAAGAGAAAGAATATGAATAAGTAATGTGAACTGTTATAAATGATAATGCCATGTTATGTGATATGAGAGCTAGGGGTATAGTTGGCATGCCAAGGGTCGAGGGTTTACCTATGTTCTTCGGGACATATGGACTGTTTACCTATGTTCTTCGGGACATATGGACTGTTTACCTATGTTCTTCGGGACATATGGACTGTTACCTATGTTCTTCGGAACATATGGACTGTTTACCTATGTCCTTCGGGACATATGGACTGATTACCTAGGTTCTTCGGAATCTATGGACTGGTCCTTCGGGACATTGATCGAGCTGTGGTGACAGCATATGTGTGCACAACCTCATGTACTCACATACCTTAAGTTCTCACTAGTGTACATGGGCTAAATACGAGATAATATTAATAAACTTGATATGATGATATGTTTGTTTCCTTGTGAAATGTTATATGTGATATGATTGTACAAATGGTTTATTGAATCATATGATAAAAAGAATCAATGATAGTGATAAGCATGAAGATGATGATATAGTTGCTTTTGTGTATTTGTTTTATGATAGGATATATATATGAGTACATGTTACAGTATATGTGAATAATTGTAATGGATTTACATGGATATAGTAATAAGTTTACAAGATAAATTATATGAATATAAGAGATCATAGGAACTTGGGTTAAGAGGTATGAATAATGACATATATGTATGTATGTATTGTTACCTGTAAGAGTGTATGAATGCATGAATGATAACAGTAATCGTTCCTGTATGATTATTAGTTTAAAGTTTGCACATATTTTATTGCCTCACTAAGTCATAGACTTAGCGTGTGATTGTTCACACGTAGGTTTCGAGAAGAGTAAAAAAGTGATGCGGAGCAAGACAGGTCAGTTACTTCTTACCGAAGATCAGATCAGAAAGATCTCTTGAATTAGATGTATTCTGTACATTGCAAATAGTTGGCATGTAATTAACATTTTGAATTGTATAGCTCTGATCGGTTTTGTCAAAAACATGTAAGCCCTGAATAGTTCTGGAAATATTTTGAATAAGTTACATATACAAAGTTTTAAATTACTCACTATTTATACGAAAAAAGAAAAAAAAAAAAAGAAAAAAAAAATTGTTGAAAAGTCAATGTGACCCTTCGGACTCGTATCCGGGTCGGATACGGGTTGGGGGTGTTACATTAATGGTATCAGAGCTACGGTTTAGCCGATTCTAGGCTAAAAATGAAGTCGAAAGAGTTTTAAAAAGTGTACATGCCAACTAAAAAGTGAAAAATTTTTGATCTGATAGGGTAAGGAGTGTGCAGGGAGAAGAGCGAAAACCTCAGGGAATGCCTGTATAAGATAGAGAATGATTCATGATGTTGAATGATATTCTGATGTGTTTTAAATGGTATACTTTGTTAACTCATAGATGTATCGAAATAGTTAAAAGAGTTAGGAGCACCCGATCTCAAGGGTGAATTTGAGGAAGGCTCTGTTGTTACAGACCTTTGTATATATGAAGATAATGCTAGAGATGTTCATTTCTCCATAGTGGAGAATTAAATTGAGAAGCTTATTATTATGTGGATAGATGGAATATGGTGAACGAGTGTCACCATAAGGATATTAAAAGATCAAGTGACCGGTTATTGTTTGTAAAAGAGTTTGTACTCTAGATGAAAGAGTTCGCATTGGCTAACAAGAGTATGTAATGAAAATGTAATGGATATATATTTGACAGGTTATGATAACCAAATAAGAGGATTTGGATGCAGTTATATAATTTGATCATAGTAAGGTGTTGTGGTGAAGAAGATAAAGATTTGTATGTTTGAAGGAAATACAAGTACAATAGATGATAAGAATTGATGTTACTGTCTACAGGATAAGTAACATATATGAATGAAATCAGAGTTATGAATTTGAAACAAAGGGATAGTATTGTGTATAAGAAAAAGTGTGGAGATGATAGGATTTGTACTTTAGAATGAAAGAGTTAGCGTTGACTGACAAGATTTTGTGATGAATTGTTTGGATATAGTTGTATATTTTGATTACGTAAATGTGATATAGTGAATAAAGTGAGGATTCGTATGGAAGTGTAAATGATAAGTTCGAAACAGAACACGAAAAATGTGCAAGGTGATGTGAAATTGTTTGACTCCTTAAAGTATATGAGTAATCACAATTGAAGAAGATTTAAAGTTGTGTTTTGGTCAAATGATGACGAAATACAAGTTTTGTATGGTTATAAGTAATTAGAGAGTTATGAAAAATAGATGGATTTATGATAAGTGATGAGATGGATGTACTGTCACGTGATGAGTGACACTATATGGAATTTTAGAAAGGTCAAAGGAAAAATGCATAGTGAATGAGAGAAAAGACACAAGGATTGGTATTACTGGTTATTGTTTATATGATAAACAACAGAAGATGAATGTATAAACGAAAAAGAGTTGGATAATTAAAGGATTGAAAAGTAAGTTTCTGATGATGACAGAAAGATAAGTCAGGGAAGCAATATAAGAACATTAGAAGATATGTCTATTAAGATGTGCAGTGAAAATTCGAGGACGAATTTTCTTATAAGGAGGGGAGATTTGTAACATCCTCAATATCGGGTTAGTGACCAAATATAAAGTTTCGGAATTTGGTGACTAAGTATAGAATGAAATAGTTCAAGGATTATTGGATACATATGATGAAGGTTATTTGTAATTGTTAAAGGAAATGAAGGGCAAATGGTAATTGGTTATGAAAGATTTTTTATCCCTTTATTAAGAGATAAAAACATGAGAAGATGAAAGCATTTCATCTTCTTCTTCCTTTCTCTTCCTCTCCCGTAAGAGCAGGGCAAAGGTAAGTTTCTTCATTAGTTGATTATTTGTTCAATTCAAGGTTGGGTTTTGATTATTAGATGATAATTAAGCTTAAGGAAAGCTTAATTTGTTCTAAACAACAATATGAAAGGTATAAGAGAGATTAAAGATTTGGAGTTTTTTATGAAACTTTGGAAAAGGATTGATAAGTAGAATTTGAAGTTGAATTTGACTTGTCAATGGTTAAATTAAGAGATTTGGAGTGATAGAATTTGATTTAGAACACATTGAAAATTTGGTATGATTTTTGAATCTTATATGGATGATAGAATTCTAAGGTTTAAGATGAAATAAATGAATATAGATTGGTTTAAGTATGTGTACTAGAGTTAAGAATGAAAAGGGGATGATATATGAAGTGTTTGAGAGAAATTGAAGTGATTTTCGAGCTTAAAATATGAGTTCTGGGCAAGGGGAATCGGTACCCTTCAGGGGAACCGATACCCCTTCAAGCGACAGAATTCCAGAAGGCCAGAGGGAACCGATACCCCCACAGGGGGGAACCGATTCCCCTATAGGAAAATGTTAATATTGGTTTAATAAGTTCGTTTAAGTTGCTAGTATCCACTTAAAAGTAGGTATCTAATTGTCTTAAATTGTATAATTATGTAGATTCAAAGCCTAAACGAGTTCCGGAATCATTGACAAGTAAGATCGATAAAAGGGAAGATAAGAGATTAAAAGGGACTAGTGAGGCCAGGTGAGTGCATATTAATTAGTTTATGGTGCTAAATGGAAACAAGACTTGCGACAAGTCTATTTCCTCTGTTAGAAAGCATGAATATGATTATACGTATATGAATGACATGAATTGTATGTATGCATGATTCTATGTGTTAACATGCTTTTGAATGTAATGTTATGAGAAGTATGTGCTATGTAATGTATATATATGAACATATGTGAAACTGAACTATGTGACTGCATGAAAGATATGAATCATATGACATGATATATGTGAACATGAGAAACAAAGTATAAGATAAGATTTATGTGATTACATGCAACGTATGATATTAGATATATTACACGTACATGTGATACGTGACTGAAAAGAAAAGATATGGTTATAAGAGAAAGAATATGAATAAGTAATGTGAACTGTTAAATGATAATGCCCATGTTATGTGATATGAGAGCTAGGGTATAGTTGGCATGCCAAGGGTCGAGGGTTTACCTATGTTCTTCGGGATATGGACTGTTTACCTATGTTCTTCGGGACATATGGACTGTTTACCTATGTTCTTCGGGACATATGGACTGTTTACCTATGTTCTTCGGAACATATGGACTGTTTACCTATGTCCTTCGGGACATATGGACTGATTACCTAGGTTCTTCGGAATCTATGGACTGGTCCTTCGGGACATTGATCGAGCTGTGGTGACAGCATATGTGTGCACAACCTCAATGTACTCACATACCTTAAGTTCTCACTAGTGTACATGGGCTAAATACGAGATAATATTAATAACTTGATATGATGATATGTTTGTTCCTTGTGAAATGTTATATGTGATATATGATTGTACAAATGGTTTATTGAATCATATGATAAAAATCAATGATAGTGATAAGCATGAAGATGATGAGTTGCTTTTGTGTATTTGTTTTATGATAGGATATATATATGAGTACATGTTACAGTATATGTGAATAATTGTAATGGATTTACATGGTATAGTAATAAGTTTACAAGATAATTATAATATAAGATCATAGGAACTTGGGTTAAGAGGTATGAATAATTATGACATATATGTATGTATTTGTTACCTGTAAGAGTGTATGAATTGCATGAATGATAACAGTAATCGTTCCTGTATGATTATTAGTTAAAGTTTGCACATATGTTTATTGCCTCACTAAGTCATAGACTTAGCGTGTGATTGTTTCACACGTAGGTTTCGAGAAGAGTAAAAGTGATGCGGAGCAACAGGTCAGTTACTTCTTACCGAGATCAGATCAGAAAGATCTCTTGAATTAGATGTATTCTGTACATTGCAAATAGTTGGCATGTAATTAACATTTTTGAATTGTATATGCTCTGATCGGTTTTGTCAAAAACATGTAAGCCCTGAATAGTTCTGGAAATATTTTGAATAAGTTACATATACAAAAGTTTTAAATTACTCACTATTTTATACGAAAAAAGAAAAAAGAAAAAAAAAATTGTTTGAAAAGTCAATGTGACCCTTCGGACTCGTATCCGGGTCGGATACGGGTTGGGGGTGTTACACCTCCAATCTGGAATATAGCCTGATTAAGGAAAGAGCTTCCTTAAGAGCCTACAAGGAAATATCAGAACATTCAGTTTTATTAGATTTATTAGCTATCAGATATACTGTGGACCAGTGAAATATACAAAAATGACAGTCATGAGAGCCAAAATGAATATTAGGATATCACTGGAATGAATAATTTATAAGCTTTCACCTCTATCATTTCAGAAGTTTGTTTTTCAGAAAATTCTACATGACCTTCACTTGAAGAGCTCTGGGGTTTCTTCAATTCTCCAAGTTTTTCCTTTAGACTGCAAGCCTCAGCATCTATTCTGATAGCCTCAGCATCTATTCTGATAGCAGACACAGAAACAAGTGGAGGGAAAAAGATTACATTTTGTTCATATTTTATTACAACTAAATATGTTTGCAAATGTTAATGGTTGCTTAAACATGTGAAGATATGATAGTAAATATATATTACAAAATAAAAAAATTATATTAATAGAAGATATGATAGTAAATTTATATTACAAAAAAAATAGTAACAGAAAGATCAACATTCACATCTGGGTTTTCATGAGCTTTATAACAAGAACCCAAGAATTAAACCCCTTTAAGATTCAAGATACTTGGATATATCCTTACATTAATTACAAATGCCATGGCTCAAAATGACAAAGCCATGTAGTAAAAGCTCAAGGATGTTGTAAGAGGAACACGGTTGTAATAGACATTATAAACATACCAATATGTATGAGTGTGTGTGTGTGTGTGTTATAGACTCATTAGTCACCTTGCAAGACCAACATTTATTTTGAGCCCTTTAATTGCATTTTGAGCATATTGGAGCAATTCTTCTCGTTTTATCTGCAAGAAATAACAGACAAGAATAAAGAAGAGATCATATTAATGTTAGATTAAGGTAAAATGAATAAGAACCGATATATGCATATATGTTATATTATTATTAACTCTAATATTTTGTTAACATGTATGCAATGTACTTACCAATACTTCCTCTTGATAGTTTGAGAATGCCACTGCTAAGGTCATTATGCTGCTCATTACTGTCTTATGAACTTCCTTCCCTCCTTCAATACAGATCCTGTATATGACGAAACCAGTGCACTTTACTTGGAATCAAATAATAGCAAGAAAAAGGCATATATTTCTTATAAACAAATTCTCTTCTCTCCAATTGCTCTGGAAACAACTTAAAGAGATAAGTTTAGGCCAGTGTGGAGAACCAAACACTCAAAAGTAACAAAAAGAGTTGGAAAATCACCTAAGTATTTCTGCAAATAGTGAAACCTCTTCCTCATTTGGTGCTTCAAGAATCTGAGTCATACAAAAGAGTTACCCTGCGGTTAAACTCAATTGATCAGCAAATACAAAGCCCGAATATGCAAAACAGACATAGTTACACGAAAATGCAGCGAAAAAAAAAAAACAAAGGATAAAGCAACATTTAGTCTCTGAACTTGGCACTTGACAGCTTTGCCCAACTTGGTCCTTCGATTTTTTTCGGTCCACATTAATACCAGAACTTGAGAAAAGTTGCTAAATTTAGGGAGTAATGTGGACTAGAAAAATTTTAGGGGCCAAGTTGGGAAAAGTTACCAAGTTCAAAGACTAAATGTTGCTTTATCAGACAGAAAAAAAAAACTTAATATCATGTTGCTACAGCTTTCTAATAAGAAGAGCGCCAAAACACCAGACAAATATATATGGAAGTCATTTTTCTGGTTCTTCAATGATTATGATATACCCTAACTGCTATTTGAATCAGTATATCAGTCTAGTAACAGGTCAATGTGGCACGATAATTAATATATATATTGTACAGTCCAGCTAGAGATGGCCTAATGTAATGGTACAGATATCAGATGATGATCCTTCTTTTAGCAAGAATATAGAAGACTTATGAGAGAATCAAGTATAGGTCCTTCATGTGCAGGACAAGCCAATGAAGAAACAGAAATAAACTAAACTAAGACATCAAAGTAAGCAAATTTTAGAAATGTATATACACAAACTTTACCGAAATCCTTGGCTTTAAGAAGCTTCATAGTCCTAGTTCAAGCACAAACTAATTCAATTTCTTTATGATAGTCCAAATACAAATTCATGGAAATGATAAATAAACCCTACCTGTGTCCATTGCTTCTTTTCAATCAACTTAAATCACAAGTCGTTTCCAATGCAAACAACCAAAAGGAAGCATTGGCATTAATGATGAAGAACTTACCATTGACAGTGTCATCCTTTCAAGAGCTTGACCATACAGAAAAACCTCCCAAAAATTCATTGGTTCCCCGATTTCAGAGTCATAGTAATACACCTGTAATCAACAGCCACAATAATCAAACATCAACAAACTATATATAATAGTTTCTAACCTAATGGTAAATTAATTTTTAAAAGAAAAAAACAAGAAGAATTACAGACCAAAGTTGGCTTTTGGGTTGAATCTTTGATCTCTTCATAGGAGAACTGATCAACGTTGTTTCTGTCATTATCATTAGCAGTAGTGTCACAGCTGTCGCTGTTGTTATCATCCTTAGTAACGTTATTATTATTATCCTCATCAATAATATTCTTCTTATCATTTTGATCATTGCATAATCTGTCAATTTCTTTAAGGGCAACAAGCCAGCTTCTTAAAAGCTGAACCCTCTCAACTCCTTTACATGACATCGAAACTTCTTCAAGTCTCTTACATTTATTCGAAGACTCTGCGTATTCCTAGCTGCCTGATAATTAACATAAAGTAAACCAATCAATTTTTCTGTTAAAATTGAAAGGATAAATTGCACCAAACTCACACATTATTAGAACTTGCAAGTGTTTTAATTGACTCATCAGACAAATGCATCCGGGCACCACAACTATGAGCTTAGGCACTAAATGCTGGTTCTCATATGCACGATCAAGTCGCCACATTGCACGTTTAAAATATCCATCTAACATTTAACGCTTCGAAAGACTAATATTCAAACTAGTAGGGTATTTAAAATTAATAGGATATCAATTTAAAATTTAAATTGTAGTTAAATGACAAAGGTGTGATTAATCCAAATTGAAAAATGAGAGAAATATGGAATTTACAATGCGGTTCTGGATCTTCCTGGCACCACCGAAGAAGATGGAATCGGCGACATTCAATACAGTGCGTCTCAGGGTAATCTTCCCGCCTATGTCCACAGCTCTACTAACAACCGTTCTTATCCATGACATTTTCTTCCAATCTCAAAGACCCCCTATAAAATTCCTAACGAGAATAAATGAAGAAAAGACGACGAAGCATTCAAAAATGGCGATTGATTTCAGTCGAAGAAAATTCTTCACTTTTGCATGTTTGAGGAAGCGACGAAACAAAGGGGAATCACAGTAAAAAAAATAGTGAATGGAGAAACACAATTTGGGCGTTGACGTGGGAACGTAAATATTTTATTAATGTCCCGCATTGTTCGAGTCCCTTGCCTCGTCTTTCGCTTTCCTGCTTTCTTTTTTAACCGCCATCTTTCTTTTCTCTAAATTTCAGGGAACGTAAATTAAAAAAAGTATATCATTATTTTTTATCCCGAATTTAACCTAAATTTTATTTATATAATTTGAACTCGTCCATCCTAAATAAATTTTATTTTATATATTTACCTCTCATTATTTTAAACTTTTAATATCTTTCTAATTCGATTTCATTATAATTTTATAAAATTAAATTAAATAAAATTATAAATTCTTATAAAAATTAAAAAAAATTATAGAATTTAAATTTATGTACAAATTACCATAAAATATGTAATTAAAAAATAATAAAATATATTATACAATTAAGAGAATTTTAGTGAATATAACATGACAAATCCCTCAAATACCCTTTCGCCATTATTTTAGATTTTCACTAATAGAGGAAATATTACAAAGAGAAAGAAAGAATACAAATAACATTTAATATAGAAGAAGGCTTATATTTGAGGGATGATTAACTAAGGAGGAGGATGACTTTATTTATAACAAAAGAATTTCTCATCCTCCTTATACACAACCAATGTGGGACTTTGCCAAAAACCAACAAATCTCTACCTTGGCAAATTCCACACACATCTCTAAAAAATCAATCTTTTAATTTGTAACAATATTGACCAAGTCTAAACAATGTTTAAACTTGACCGCATTTACCACTTTTGTCAACATATCAGCAGAATCTCTCGTACAAAGTGATATCGAACATCGATGTGCTTTTTCCTTGCATGGTAAACCTGGTTCTTTGCTAAATGAATAGCACTCTGACTGTCACAGTGCACTTTGATGTGCTTTTGTTCCATTCCCAATTCACCAAGAAACCCTTGAAGCCAAATTGCCTCCTTCACAGCCTCTGTAACTGCCATATACTCTGTCTCTGTAGTAGACAAAGTCACTGTTGACTGTAAGGTGGACTTTCAACTGACTGGTGCCTTTGCAAATGTAAACACATAACCAGTAGTTGATCGACGTTTGTCCAAATCACCTGCATAGTCTGAATCACAATACCTAACTACACACTGACCGTCTTGTTTGTCCTGCTGAAAGACCAAACCAACATCTACAGTGTTCAGAATATACCACAGAATCCATTTCACAGCTTGCCAATGCTCCTTTCCAGGATCATGCATATACCTGCTCACAACCCCAACTGCCTGTGAAATATCGGGTCTCGTACACACCATTGCATACATTAAGCTACCAACAACACTTGCATACGGAACCTTTGACAAGTATTCCCGTTCTGCATCATCCTTAGGTGACATTGATGCACCGAGCTTGAAATGAGGAGCAAGAGGTGTACTAACTGGTTTTGACATCTCATTTATGCCAAAACGTTTTAGTACCTTCCTCAGATATTCTTTCTGAGACAAACAAAGCCTCCTCAATTTCTTATCCCTTGATATCTCCATGCCTAGAATCTTCTTCGCTTCACCAAGATCCTTCATCTCAAACTCCCTGTTCAATTGGGTCTTTAGTTTCGCAATTTCTGTCTGACTCCTGGAAGCTATCAACATATCATCAACATAAAGAAGAAGATATATATAGGATCCGTCTTCTAGCTCGCGTAAATACACACAATGATCATATTTGCTTATTGTGTACTTCTGCCCTATCATAAACTTGTCAAATCGCTTGTACCACTGCCTTGGAGATTGCTTCAATCCGTACAATGATTTTTCTAATTTGCACACCATCTTTTCTTTTTCAGTAACTTTGAATCCATCTGGCTGAGTCATGTAGATTTCCTCATCCAAGTCTACATGTAAAAATGCAGTTTTTACATCCATCTGAACTAGTTCCAAATCTAACTGCGCTACCAAAGCCAACAAAATTCTGATGGAGGAATGTTTTACAACTGGAGAAAATACTTCATTATAACCAACTCCCTCCGTTTGAGCGTAGCCTTTAGCCACCAATCTTGCTTTGTAGCGGATGTTATTCTTGTCAGGAAATCCATCTTTCTTTGCATATACCTACTTGCACCCAATTGCCTTCTTTCCCTTCGGAAGACTAGCTAGTTTCCACGTCTGATTCTTTTGAAGGGATTGTATTTCTTCATTCATGACAATCCTCCACTTTTTATGTTCTGAACTTTGAACTGCTTCATTAAAAGTGGCAGGAACGTCATCAATTGCAATTGGTGATGCAAAAGAGACCATATCAGCATAACGAACAAGTTGTCTAATGGTCATCTTTCCCTTTCTGAGTGCAATTGATTCATGTTGTTGTGGAGGTTCTTGGGTCTGAACCTCTTCTTCATCTTACTCTTCTTCTACCATAGGAGAGTCAACATCAGTTTCTTTACTGGTTGGGACAATCTTGCTTCCTTCATACTCCACATGTTTGAGAGTTCCATCTGTCTGGTCTAATTTTTCTGAAGTCACCTTTCTCAACATGGTAGATTCATCAAAGGTAACATCCCTGCTGAAGATTATTTTCTTTGTTTCTGGACACCAAAGATGATAGTCTTTCACACCAGAGGTGATCCCCATAAAGATCGCCTTCTTTGCTCTTGGATCCAGCTTTGACTCCTTAACATGGTAGTATACAGTGGAACCAAACACATGTAAGGAATCATAATCTGTAGCAGGTACTCCAAACCATTTCTCTAATGGTGTTTTACCACCAATAGCAGTCAATGGTAAGCGGTTGACAAGGTGACAAGCATAGACCAAAGCCTCAGCCCAAAATTCTTTGCCTAACCCAGCATTAGACAACATACACCGAACCTTCTCCACTAATGTTCGGTTCATACGCTCTGCCACCCCATTCTGTTGTGGTGTACCTCTGACAGTGAAGTGCCTGACAATACCTTCCTCTTCACAGACTTTCAGAAATTTTGATTTTTCTACCTGTTTGAGTCTCCATCATCTTTTTCCATTTAAGGAAAAATCCTAGCACCTCATCCTTTGTCTTCATTGGATACACACAAACTCTCCGGGAAAAATCATCAACAAAGGTGACATAATAGTGTGTTTCTCCCAATGAAGTTGTCTTGGAAGGCCCCCATACATCTGAATGAACATAATCCAAAATACCTTTAGTATCATGGATTGCTGTTCCAAATTTCACCCTCGTCTTCTTCCCTTTGATGCAATGCTCACAAAAAGCTAATTTGCAAGTCCAAGCACCCTTCAATAATCCTTGATCTATAAGTAATTTCAAGGATTTTTCACCAACATGCCCCAAGCGCATATGCCATAACCTGGTTGCTTCTGACTCATGTTCATCAGTAGAAGCGTCACTGCTGCTGTCCCAACAATTGTACTACCCAGAAAGTAATACACATTGTTTCTTTTTCGGATTCCCTTCATTATCACCAGTGCACCAGAGATAATCCTCATAATCCCATCTTTTGCCCTCACTTCTAAACCTTTTGACTCTAAGGTTCCCACAGAGATGAGATTTCTCATTAAATCTGGTACATAATGGACATCTGTTAAGGTTCTGATTGATCCATCCTGATTCCTCAAGCGAATTGAACCAATCTCAAGTGTGTCAAGAGGGGAATTATTTGTTGTGTAGACAATTCCACCTTTTAGTTCTTTAAAATCAAAGAACCATTCTCTATTGGGGGTCATATAGTGGCTACAAGCTGAATCTAACAGCCATGAACTAGAACAGCTGGTTGATGGCGTAGCAGCGAATGCGAAATCTGAATCTGCATCATTATACTCGACCACATTTGATTCTGAGACAGCCTTCCTCCTTTCAGGTTTGTCTTTATTCTTTAGCCTGGGACATTCTTTCTTCCAGTGCCCTTTTTCTCGACAAAAGACACATTCATCTTTGCTCAATCTGGACTTTGACTTCGATCTCCCTCTGCTTCCTTTATTCCGACTCTTCGAACGGCCTCTAATAACAAGAGCTTATGCTTCGACACTTGTGTTTTCTTGTTTGTCTTTCTTTCTCAATTCATAACTATACAAGGCAGCAGTTACTTCACTGAGAGACACATCAACCTTCCCATGAAGTAGAGTAGTTTCAAGATACTCAAACTCATCAGGAAGTGATCCCATCAACATCAGAGCCAGATCTTCGTCTTCAAAAGTCACGTCCATATTCATCAGATCAGTCACCAGCTGATTAAAGCTAGTAATGTGATCATTCATAGTGGTACCTGGTACATAGTTGAAGTGGAACAATCTCTTTTTCATGTAGAGTTTGTTCTGACCGCTTTTCTTCAAAAATTTCTCCTCCAGTGTCTTCCATAATTTACTTGCAGAAGTTTCCTTAGAAAATGCATACTTCTGCTCTCTAGAAATACACGATCGAATAATACCACATGCCATTCTATTGATCCTCTTCCATTCTTTCTCCTCAACATCATCTGGTTTCTCTCCTTCAATAGCAATGTCTAGACCCTGTTGAAATAGGGCATCTAGAACCTCACTTTGCCACATGCCGAAATGACCGGTGCCATCAAAAATCTCCACTGAAAATCTAACATTTATCACAGCATTTCTTGCCAAAATTGAAGATGAAGAAGTGTCTGCCATTTCTGCTATAAATTCTATTTAATAGTTGCCAATGAGGAATGTCAATTATCCCAAGGAAATTTTTTCTGATGTGGAAGATCAGCCTAAGCCGCAACCACAGAGCATACTAAAATAAACCAAGAGCGCTGATACCAATTGTTGTGGAATTCGGGTTAATTTCCACCAATAACATATTCACCTTTAAACTATTATCTAGGTGACTAGTGTGAAAACATTATACTAAAAATCACCCCAAGGTAGATTCCCAGGAAAGATGAGGGGTCACAATGGTCCCTCTTAAAACCCACTTTCCTTAGACAGAACTATCAAGACAAGTAATTTTAATAGGACAATAATTAACAACAACTATACCCGACAATAGCTATTAAATAGACATAAAGAGAACACCAAAATTTAACGAGGTTAGGCCAAAATTATGCCTACCTCCTCGAACACTACTAAAATAATATTTCACTAATAGAGGAAATATTACAAAGAGAAAGAAAGAATACAAATAGCCTTTAATATAGAAGAAGGCTTATATTTGAGGGATGATTAACTAAGGAGGATGATGGTTTTATTTATAATAAAAGAATTTCTCATCCTCCTTATACACAACCAATGTGGGACTTTGCCAAAAACCAACAGGCAAGGTCTAAAGCAAATTAATCTCTTCTCTATGCCAACTCGAGTCAATGGTGTTCTTTAAGCTACGGTTGTCTCACTCGATATCCGGCAATGGCACTTTCCAAGGCTCCGAGGCATGGCTTAACCGGGGATGGTTATGGAGAATTTTCGGATGTGAGAAAATATTTGTTTACTTGTTCGACCAACAAGGTTGGCGGAAATATGTCGTTAAAGAGAGTATGTAATGACGTATACGACTTCACATCGATACAATGACTAACAGCCACCTCCCCCTGCCGGTTTCGAGTTGGATTGTTAGAAATTTGATACGGTAACCTATGGTTCATTCTTTTCCCCTCGAGAGTAGGACAAAGAAAGCATGTATACCTTAGGGTTGATGATAAAAATCTTGCCCTTGGCGATCCCCATTTTTCTATAGCTCAGCTCATCCATGTCTCTTTTCTAAAGCCTGCATATAGTCGGAGGGAAACAGTTTCTTAATATCTTGCAATGCACACATAAGAAAGAAAGGAACCCAAAGTGATCCTATCGCAGTAACCTGTTTACATCTACATTGAGGAAAGAGTATTTTCGAATTTACCTCGTGAGGTGCTCTTCTTATCACTGCCATTGATAAGGAAGAAGGCGAGGACGACCAAGGCGGAAGTGGGAAGACTGCTTGAGATATGATTTGATGGATTTAGCCCTTACCGAGGACATGACCTCTGATAGGAAAGTATGGAGACTCAAAACTAGGGTAGTCGAGTAGTGTGGGTAACTTCTACTTTTTATACGTTTATGTTATTGGTATTTATGAAGGCTTAGAACTGGGCTTGCTTTCGTTGACTTCTGTGTAACATTCTCTTCACTTTTAAATTTAGTCGGGTCTTACGTTTCTGTCTATATGCAGAGATTTTTTCGTATGGATTTATTTACAGGGATTACTGCCCAAGTACAAACGCGCATATGATATTAATGATATTAATGTCTGCATATGAATATTGTTCAACTATGTATTTATGTGTTTATTTATACATGCATTGCATTTTATCTATATTTTTAATTTTCTGACTGCCGGAGGTCTTCCACGGAATCTACTCTCAACCTGGCGTTGGGGGCAGCCTACTACCCTACCTCCCCCTTACCCCATTGCATATGGGAATTGGGTTTTGTTGTTGTTGTTGTTGTTGTTGTAATACTATTTTTTTTATTAATATATGGTGCTTATAAGTAATATATGATCTAAAAACTCTTAATCATATGACTACGAATGCTCAAATACCTTGAGATTCTTTGGTGCTCGAACCTTGAATCTATAGGAATAACAACATTCCTTTTACTATCTAGGTAAACTTGATTCATGCATTTAATACTAAAATATTAATATTGTTCTCACCATATTATTTACTAAACATAACAGGTCAATAAATGAGAGTGTCCACTTGTGATACTTTTTAGAACACCACGTAGAATTATTTCCTATGTTTAAGGTTAATAAATTAATTTGTATAATCTTTTAGAAAATTGAAGTGTTTGACTTAAATTAAAAAAATTATAAAAAGAAAAATATTTATGGGTCCATTCAACATGTTTTAATTATTTTATATTTTCTTGACATTTTGAAAGTTCCCAAGCAAGTAAATAATATAATAAAATGATGTATTTTTTGTAAAAATACATTTTTTAATAGAAGATAAGATATGCACACAATATACAGTATATCACATATGATAAAAGCAAGATGTCACCTTCACGGTACAATGAGGGAAACAAACCGTCGGGAGAAATAACAACAGGTCCATTCGGTAAAGCTTTTCCATCCTATAGAAACGAATTAATCAGTTAAAATCTTGGTGACAGGGAGGATGGTTTCCAAATGTTAGCCTACCACTTCCATAAGGAAAATGTAAAAGTTATACTTAGATGCAAAGGCAAATGTTGAAAAAAAAATGTTTATCTTAAGCTCACTAAAAACCTGGAGTATTTTTTCTACCTGTTTCAGGTTGATTAAAAAACTTCTGGTTAGATATGCCTGAACAATTGCTCGTGCACTGAGAAATAGCAGCTGATATCCGTTCTCCTGTTGTGAATAGATAATTTAGTATTTGACATCAGATTCCCGAGGAAATCCATTTGATACCATGCATGTCAACATACCTTAATAGCAGAGAAAAGTTTAGCTACACCAGATTGTGTCCAATCCCTTCCAACTAATGGCATAAACTGGCCTAAAACGTCAGGCCTGAAAGAGAGGTGTCAGTGTTATTGAAAGGTACATCTTTTATTCAAAGGAAAGATTTCACCACAAATCAAATAGACTATCGCAACTTCTACAAATACATATTGATTCTTTAATACTAATGATCATATTGGAACACTCTACGTAATGGGTGAAACGAGAACATTTTAAATAGTGCGTGGATATAACATCACAAGATAAAAATCCATACTTGCTGATAGTTCCATCAACATCTGATATTACAATCTTTGCATTCCACTTCCACAAGTAAATATGAGCATCAACCCGTTAAACATGCATAGGTTTAGGAGGATAATTTGTTAAAATTAGCACAAACTTAAAGGAACAATTAATTGGTAGACTTGAAACCTGTTGTGTTCCCAAAACCTTGGTGGAGAAGCTGGACGTAATCTTATTCTGACCATCTTTCAGATTCAACGAAGATATCTGCTCACTGTTGGGAACATTTGTCCTAATAAATTACTTTCGGGAAGATTCAATGTTTGTCGAAAGTTATACAAATACATAAAGATGAAACTATAAATTATAAAGGAGTATATACTTCGTAGATGATTTCATTGAATACAATGCAGATATATCTAAGCCTTTTAATACATCATAATAAGCGTGAGAGGGTTAATAACTTTCATAACAAACTGAGACCCACTGTCGTTTTTCCAGCTCACCAACCATATTCTTTGCCAGCTCACCGCTAATACTTCAATATGCTCTCTACTTCTTGTCGTTCTTTTTCCTCAACTTTAACACTAAAACGAAACAAAGGAAATTGAGATCGAGCTAAAGGTTTGGTAAAACCATCATCTACTTGATTTGTTGCAGGAACATAAGTTACTTGTAATGTGTTGTCGGCCACTTTTTTCACGAACAAAGTGCACGTCGAGCTCAACATGCTTTGAACGGGCATGGAACTCCAGATTGACGCTTATGGCAATCGCACTGGTGTTATCACTCCAAACTACTGGTGGTTCAACAGGAACAATACCCATGTCAGCAAGTAATGCCTTCAACCATACAATATCAGCCACAATATCTGCAATGCTAAGATATTCAGCCTCGGTGATTGATCGAGAGAGATTTTTATTTACGAGAACTCCACTAAGCTAGATTGTTTCCTAAGAAAACACATGAGCCAGAGGTAGAAACGACAGTCATTGTTGTCGCTTGCCCAGTCGGCATCTGCAAAAGCCACAATGTTAGACGCATAGTCGGAGGATTGGAACACCAACCCAAATTCCATCGTGCCTCTCAAGTAGCATAATATTCGTTTCACTGCAACCCAATGAAGTTCACATGGCCGATGCACATATTGAGTAGTCTTGTGAACACTGTAAGTTACGTATGGTCTGTTGGGAAATAAACCGAGTAACGAGTAATTTCCTTATAGCCAGATTAGTGAGAATACGAAATAAAAGCGGAAAAAATAATACCCGAAAATTGATAACGGAGTTCAGCCAATTGTGCTTACGTCTCCGGACTGCTGCAGATCTTTTACTAAAGAGAAAAAATTACAGGTGTTTACAAAACACACTTGAGAGAGAACTGGAAGATTTTGGGATGATTTTGAAGCTAAATGGGCTAGGGTATTTATAGCTAAAGCTTAAGGACTAATCTTTGAAAATACCCTAAAGAGCAATGGCTAAAGTGTAATTTACCCATCTCTAAAAAATCAACAAAACACAACCACCGAAATCGGTGCAATTAATCACCGAAAAATAGCAGACTTTCCTGACTTTTTTAATCTTTGGCCCTTAGTTGAATTCCCATTGTGTGGTGCCACCCCCTTTTATTGACTTTACTCTCAACAATCTCTCACTTGAAGACTGATTTTAATCTTTCTTCACACCTCGATCAAAGCAGCAACATTTCTGGCCTTGTTACTCTAGCATGTCAACTGAAGCTGAACACAACTTCAGTTTGTCCGTAGTCACCGTCTTTGTTAACATGTCTGCTGGATTTTGAGCTCTACTAATCTTTTCAAGTTTTAAAATCCCATCTTTCAGAAGAGACCGGATAAAATGATATCCCAATTGTATGTGCTTCGTTCTGGAATAAAAAGACGGATTCTTTGCTAGATGTATAGCACTTTGACTATCGCAGTACAAGACATTGTTCTCTTGTTTCTTGCCTAACTCTTCCAAGAAACTTTGGAGCCAACCCATCTCCTTGCTGGCTTCCGTAACAGCGACATATTATGCTTCAGTTGTGGAGAGAACAACTATCTTCTGTAGTTGAGAAACCCAACTCACTGCAGTACCTCATAGAGTATAGACATACCCTGTAGTGCTCCTTCTGATGTCAACATTTCCGGATAAGTCAGCATCTACATAGCCTGTCAGTATCGTATCTCCACCTTTGAAACAAAGTGCTTTGTTTTTGGTACCCCGCATATATCTGAGGATCCATTTGACTGCTTCCCAGTGTACTTTGCCCGGATTATTCATGTACCTGCTAACAGCTCCCACTGCATGAGCAATATCAGGTCTGGTACAAACCATGGCATACATCAGACTTCCAATTGCTGAGGCGTACGTCATCTTCACCATGTGTGCATGTTCTTCCTCCGTCTTTGGTGACTGTTCTTTGGAGAGTCTGAAATGAACACCTAAAGGTGTACTTACTGGTTTAGCATTTTGCATGTTGAACCTGGAGAGTACTTTGTTGATGTACTCAGCCTGTGATAACATCAAAGTCCCCGACTTTGTGTCTCTCTTGATCCTCATCCCAAGAATATGCTTTGCAGCGCCCAGATCCTTCATAGCAAACTGCTTCGACAATTTTTTCTTTAAGTTTATAATCTATTGCATGTCTGAGCCTGCAACGAGCATGTCATCAAAATACAACAATAAAATAATGAAGCTATTGTCGAACCTCTTGATGTAGCAACAATGATCTGCTTGGCATCTGGTAAAACCACTGCTACTCATGAAGCTATCGAACTTCTTGTACCGCTGTCTAGGAGCTTGTTTTAAACCATACAAGCTCTTCTTCAACCTGCATACCAGGTTTTTCTTGTCTACCTCTATGAAACCTTCTGGCTGCCTCATATAGATTTTTTCCTCCAAATCACCATGAAGGAAAGCTGTCTTTACATCTAATTGCTCAAGATGTAAATTCTCTGCAGCTATAATTTTCAACACCAGTCTGATTGTAGACAGTTTTACAACTGGAGAGAAAATTTCATTGTAGTCAATACCTTCCTTTTCTGAAAACCTTTGACAACCAATCTTGCTTTGTAGCGTTTGCTCCCATCGTGCTCTTCTTTGATCCTGTAGATCCACTTGTTATGGAGCGCTTTCTTACCTGGTGGTAATTCAGCTAATTCCCATGTCTGATTTGACATAAGCGAGTTCATCTCATCTTTCATGGAAGACTCCCACTTGACTGAATCCTCCGTTTGCATAGCTTCATCATAGCACTCTGGTTCACCATTGTTAGTCAGCAACAAGTAGTGCAAAGAAGGAGAATATCGTTGGGTTGGTTTAGGAATTCTAGAGGAGTGTCTTAGTTCCGGTGTGCCTGGTTCTTCTTGAACTGCTTCAGGACTGATCTGAACATCATTTCCAGAAATCTCCTCGAACTCAGCAAATTCCTTTGTATCAGCTTTGGTATTGGAGCTGCTTGATTCTACAGTTGACATATCTTTGTACATCACATTCTCATTGAAAATGACATCTCTGCTTCTGATGATCTTCCGATTTTCATAGTCCCAAAACCGATAACCGAAATCATCATCGCCATAACCAACAAAAACACATTTGTTGGACTTAGCATCAAGTTTACTTCTTTCAGCAAAGTCTATGTGTACATAAGAAATACAACCAAACACTCTTAAGTGTGAAAGGCTTATTTCTTTCTTGATCCAAACTTCCTCTGGTATTCTGCCATCCAAAGGAACTGAGGGCCCACGGTTGATCAGGTAAATTGCAGTGTTGATAGCTTCAGCCCATAGAAATTTGGGTAATCTGGCATGTATCCTCATGCTTCTGGCACGTTCATTCAGAGTTCTGTTCATGCGCTCTGCTACGCCATTCTGCTGCGGTGTCATAGGAACTGTTGTCTCTATCTTGATCCCATTGTTTGCGCAGAAACCTCTGAATATCCTATTTTTGTACTCTCCTCTATTGTCAGACCTCAACCGCTTGACTTTCAAACCAATCTTATTTTCCACCATGGCCTTCCATTTTCTGAAGGTATCAAAGACTTCTGATTTATTCTTCAGAAAATAAACCCACACCTTCCTTGTAGAATCATCGATGAAGGTGACATAATATAATGAGCCTGCAAGAGATGGAACTGGAGATGGTACCCATACATCAGTATGAACCAACTCTAACTTTTCAGCCTTGGGTGTCTTACCAATCTTTGCAAAGCTGACTTTCTTTTGTTTGCCAAAAATGCAATCCTCGCATAGTCCGACATCTACATTCTTTAGATCCGGCAGCTTCCCTTTTGACGAAAGTGTCTTCATCCATTTCTCGCTCATATGGCCAAGTCTTTGGTGACATAGGTTTGATTTTCCATCAACATCTGTTGCAGCAATGATATTCTCTAAATTTGAGGTTACATAGAGAGTACCAGTCTTCTTACCACGAGTAATGACGAGTGCTCCTTTGGTAATCTTCTATTCACAGCATGAAAAGGTTGTGCTATATCCTTCTCCATCAAGCTGTCCTACAGAAATCAAATTCCTTTTGAGGCTAGGAATATGTCTCACTCCTGTCAGCTTCCAAGTGGTCTGATTTGGCAGCTTTAGTCGGATGTCTCCTTTTCTGACGATCTTCAAGGTTTCATCATCAGCTAGATGAACCTTCCCAAAATCACCACTGACATAGTTCTCCATGATTTCTCATCATCATCGGACTGTTGACGCTTAAAATCATGGCATCACCTGTCTCCTCTGTCATGTTTGCAGATTCCTGTGCGCCGGTATCTTTCTTCAGTGCTCGGCAATCCCATTTAAGGTAACCCTTCTTGCCATAATTATAACAGGTAAAATCTTTCTTTCCCGTTCTTGATTTTCCCCGTCTGGATTTCGATCTGCCACAATTTGAATTTCTTTATGAAGTTCTTCATCTGGACTCCGTGTGCAAGGCTGAGGAGGTTGATGCTTCACTCGATTCTCTCCGTCGAATTTCTTCACTTAATATCAGATCTCGAACATCGTCGAATTTTAATTTGTTGTTTCCCGACGAGTTGCTGACTGTTGTAACAGTAGCATTTCAACTGTCTGGTAGAGATGATAAGAGAATTAAAGCTCGAACTTCATCATCGAATTC